TTTAGTAAAAATCACTCAAGCTTTTAGGCATTAAAAGTCATTGTTAATTCACTTCTTATCATTCAGAATCATTGATAAAAGTCAGAAAATTATTAACCAATAAAGTACTTACATTTAACTGTTCACACGTAAAATTACTTAATTACTCAAAAATCTCTAGAGCCCGCACATAAGTTGAACGAATTTCAAATGTTATTTCTTTCACAATTTTCCGTACTTTTCTAAGTTTAATCGAACGCGTTTTCCGAGGCAGCTTCGCGAATTTTACTCAGACTGACTCATTGGTACTGTAGACTTTAACTCAAACTGGACAGGACTGCGAAATCATCTCTCAACTAACAACTGCCTTCCACTTCTAAAACCGCGGTATTTATATTTAATCGATCCTCTCAAATTTCTCTGTCCATGACAATTAAGATGATGAAATCTCCTTCAAATTTTTGTCATTTTATTAGTTTAAATCGAATAATTATGTCGCAATTTCCTGATTTTATCGGGGTCAAAAACTTTAGTATAAGAATGTGAGGGCAAGACAAACAAAGCCGACACACGTGCGTGCCATAAATCTTCGATTTAATTACCCTGTCCTGGTTTCTATTATTTTTAAGAATTCAATTTAGATGATGACATAGGCTGGGTGTCGAAATACGTTAGCGTTAATTTGTTTCATTTTTAATTTATCGATACTGATTTGGGATATCGGAAATTCAGTTTTTGATTGTTTGATTAAATTTAATTTCTGTGAACGAACGTACAATCACAGAACTGTGACAGAAAAAGGTAATACAAATTGGCATAAAACTCGAGAAATTCGTCAGTTAGCCCGCGAAAGGATATATTCATTACTAGAGGACTCCGTTGTGATGAACAGTCGCTCATTTTTGTTATCTTCATTGTGCAACATGTACAATAGCAATGTGAAAAAACTATGCGCAGATCAATCCGTAACGTTCAGCCATGAAGTCGAGCCGCGTCACTTTGAAACTACAGTCTCGCTAATCAAGGACAAAAAAATCAAAACAATTCTGAAGAACAAAAAAAAGTCATTGTACCCTATGATGGATTTATACTTGGGGATGAATAATTTGCTAATTTGGCTACACAAAATTTGTTACAAAGAGCAGCAATTATTTTACGCGAACGAATATTGAGCATTCAAAGAAAAAAGTTGCCGAAGAAGCTGTATGCTAAAGATTTAATTGCTGGTGAGTGTGATATTCTAGATGAACTTGAGGATCGTCGTAAAACTGGCGCGGATTGCTTGCGAAAGTCAAAATCTTTTGCGGAAGATATCATCTATGCAGTCCACAATGGCAAAATAAAGACTGCAAAGCACATCACACTGGGAATGACAATAAAAAGTTTAACAAATAGTCGCAAAGCTATTAACATTTTGAATCGTTACGGTCATATGTGCAGCTATAATAGGCTCGAAGAATTCGAAACGGAAGTTACTATTACCTCGGTTGAACGCTCCAAGATTTGTCCTGATGACATTATACTGGCTCCACATCTATGCACAGGTGTTGCATTCAATAACTTTGATCGATTTGTGGACACACGCACCGGAAAAGATACTCTCCACGACACCGTGGGCATAATATATCAAAATATTGAATTAGGCATTGACAGCGAACCAAGATACGAATTAGGTGACAAGCGAAGAAGAACTCTCGATGCGGTAACTGCTGAGCTGGAGCCATATGTCAAAAAACCGCGAATGACTGACCGCTTGCTGCCAATGACTGATCATGACTGATGATCGCCATTCCTTAGTACCTATAGTTGAACAAGATACTGCGAAACGCTTAGACTACATTTGGATACTCTCACACGCCGCAGAAATCCCTGAAACCCCAATATGGGTGGGCTTTAATAGCAAAAGATTTGAGGATAACAGTTTACAGCAAAGAATTTCGTATCTGACGCCGATTAATTTATCACCAACGGAGGTTGCTGTTGTATTGGAGACCATGTCACAAAATGCGCTCTCGAAATACAAGTCACGGAAAAACCAAGATTTGATAATCTCTTCATTCATTTGGGAGGCTTTCCCATCATGATGGCGTACTTTAAAGCCATTAACCAATTTGTCGATGAATGTGGTCTCTCCTATATTATGGTAACAAGCAACATATTGGCAAGTGGCTCAATCAATGGATTTATTTCTGGCAAACATTTTAATCGATGCAAGCGTTTACATCCGCAAATGGCGTTGGCATTCCAAATTTTACACTATAGAGCGTTTCTAGTACGAGAAAATATTGAAATTGGCGAGGAAGTAAAAGCGGAACTTCAGAACTACCAAAAAAAAAATTTTTTTATAGAAGATGAGGATTCTGTTACTGCTTAATTGCTGAAAAAATACAAAGATTATGAAGAAGCCACAATGATCGGAGTGTACGGAAAAACTGCACAATTTTATTTAACCTAGGTCCAGCTCGTCTCGTATTATTTAATGTTATCGCGAAGACGCGAAGTATTCGTTCTGGAAATTTCGGTTTGTATGTGTCGACTTTGCCAAAACTCGCCAATTTGTTTTTCATTTTCAACCAACCTAATTATGCTCGATGGCTGGTGAAATACCACATTAACTTGCTACAAATAGACGAAACACATCCAGGGTTGAGAACTGACTTCCAGAATGGTTACTTTGGTATCAAACGAACACAAAAGCCATTTTCAAGGCAACCAGTAGACATCACACTTGAACAAAGAGTTAATGCTGATGCTGAAAAACGATTGGCAGGTATTGCGCATTTTTCAGACTCCATTGGTGCTCGTTAACGTTGGGCAAGGAGTCACGGCATTCATACTTCAATTATATCCTACACTTGTGACCAAGCTGGATTGCAAAAAATCCAAGATATCTCAGCGGATCTCGAGCCACGGCGAATATCCCTTAGCTCTCAACAACTTCGTGATTTTATAACAGTGCTCGAGAACAATATGAATCCATAGGCGTATCCAGGGGGGGGCTGCCGGGCTGCAGCCCCCCCAAGGCAAGTCTAGACTAATTTTTTTCCCAGCGTATTTTATTGACATGTAAAGTTTTTGTATAAAAAAAATAAAAATAAAATGTATTTCTTTCTATAGTAGATAAGGTTTTCCTATGGCGGGCACCTAATGCATCAAGGGAATCAGTGCTTCATCTTAATCATCTTGAATGTCCGAAATACTTCCTTCCTCAGGGGCCCAAATCTCGTCTCAGGGAGTAGAGCAGTAGAGCAGTGAGCAGTCCGATAGAACACATGTTTGTCCTTGTCAACGCAATCGGAAAGTAAAAGAGAATGATAAAGACGTAAAATGTGTTCTCTCGGGGAGCTCTACTCCCTTAGACAAGAATCAGACCCCAGGCTGGTTATTCTTGAAACCAGGGACCAGCGTTCTCATGAGAACGATTGCTCTATCTTTCTCAATGACATGCAAATGATAATATGAGTAACTCAGCCGGAATAGTTATTCTCATGGGAATACTGCCCCCTGTTTCAAGAATAAGGGGCCTAATCCTGATTCTTGAAACAGGGAAGCAGCGTTCCCAGGAGAACGAGTGTTCCGTCTTTCTCAATGATATGCAACTGATAATATAAGTAACAAAGACTCAAGAATGGGGACCCAGGAGAGAAGGTGCTCCGAGAACAAAATTTCTCCTCCTTACCAAAAAAAGCAAGTAGGTGACCGGATGCGAAAATTTTTGTCGTCCCGCAGAAAAAAGGCGCGTAATACGATTCTTAACGCATAACATTTGGGTATGTCAGGTGAATTCCTGACCAAAATAGGCAACTTTCACATTAATCTGCTAGTCATTCTGAGCTGCTTTCTTTTCAGGGACTTGGGCGCTCCAGTGCACTTTGGATCACGATTTTGACATGTAAACAACCGTTCTTTTTAATCGGGGCGACAAGCCCCGGGGTCGTCTATCCCGCATCAGTGAGGCGTCGAAGCTCAGTCTCCGAACTGTCACTAGTGTAGTGTAGTGTCATAATTAAATGTCCCTAATATTTCTAGGGTAGTTAGGTACTTCCTTCCGTTATCAAAATTTATGGGAATTAAAGCATTTTCCAAAGAATTATTTTCCATGTGATTTGAATAATTTTAATTTTACACAGGACCAGGACCATGACACATACTTTGTAATTTGAGGTTAGATTTTTGAACGCAGATTTTGATCCTTAATTACCGTTCTACCGTTACCGGGCGTCGAAGCCTGGGATTTCGAAGCTCTGAAAAGAAAGCACCTCTGATAACATCTGTATACTTTTTTCCAAAAAAAAAATCGAATTTTTAAACTGCTGCAAAAACGCGGGATAGGAAAGGGACGTTACTTTCCGAAACATGCGAGGATGCCGATTTTCTCATTAGTAAACCATTCCAAAATATGGCTGATAAAAAACCAATTAACTATAAACTACATGTACCTGGAATGGCCCGCCCAGCCTATCTATAAAATGAGGCAAATTGAGATGGAGAATATGGGGGATACCTATCTCTATATACCTTATGGGCCAATTATGAAAATCTTTCTTTGTCTAAAAAAAATTATATTTGAGGTTAGGAATATACACCAAACCTGACGGCATTGTCAAATAAACTAGAGAGAGAAAGGTATTTCCCATTATATAGTTATCTTTGGACGCACTAAGAGAGATGACAAATGCCATATCCGACAACGGTCGGTGCTATTCCAGTTACGTGTAGTTTACAGCATGGTTACAGTTCATTGTAAAAACTAGTCATCACCTATGACCTAGCTATTTTCGTCCTTTTCTACTTTATAAAAAAAGAAAGGATAGGTATAATCGGTGAACTCTAGCTACCTAGTAAAATGATCCTAATTCATGTGGCAATAATCGCATGAATGCTTAGGCACATGAAAATGGTTCGCAGCTTTTTTTTTTTTTTTTGGTCGACCCTCTATGTTAACACAGCCCCCCCAAACCAGAATCCTGGATACGCCAATGTATGAATCCATTCCAATCTGAGTTTGACAATAAATCGTTATGCAACATCGCCACAGGAGAGGCAGCATCTCGCCCGTCACGGATTTTCTATTAGACGTCCAAGAAAATGTCGAACAACAACGTGAAACTTTCGTCAACGAGTGTGCTGTGGATGGTGCAAGATTTGGCCGCGCATTGAAACGTAATAAAATCTTAAATTTTGCGTCGATGGCTGAAAAAAAAAGTGTTAAAGTCGCTGGAAAAGTGCATGAGTTCCAGATGCAACGTGATTTATTTGGTCGAATGATTGGTTTATCAATGCAGCAGAAAATAGACATTGCAAAAATTTTGTCCTACCCACTAACGCCTGTTCCAATGTCGCTGTGTCATTTGGACGGAAAAATTTGCAAGGCTAATAAGTCAGTGTTTTAGAAGACAAAATTACACAGCCCGTTAAATCGCCATTAGAATATGATGTTGTCATCATCGATGGATTTTTTTTGATTCCCCTGAAAATTTTGCAAATCATAACACGATATAACGCGAAAAGGATCGACATAATATTCGATAGATACTTCCCCTCATCAATTAAAGAGATTGAGAGATCTCGCAGAGACGAATTCTCAACGACTGAATACATTATTGTAGTACCAGATCAAGCGAGAGGCGTAGAATTTTCAAGGGAGATGAGCAATATCAAGTTTAAGGAGGTATTACTTAAATTCTTGAGTATGCATTGAAGTAGTACAGAGGAAACACCGTTCATTGGAAACAAAATCATCAATTTAATCATCGATTTAAGGTGATTAATGGAGAAGTGGTGAAAACAACTGATGATCGACTGATATGTGAAGGACATGAAGAGGCTGACACCAAAATTGTGTACCACATCTGCAAGCTGGATACGGGCTCTCGGATACTTATGAAAGCCAATGACACTGGCATCCTCATAATCATGTTGGGCAACATGAAACACATTAGGAGTGAGACACATATTTGGATGCAATGTGGTACTGGGAATAATATACGTGACATTGACATCACGATATTGTATTCGATTCTCGGAGAGTCAGTTTCGCAGGCTCTTCTAGGATTGCATGCCTTTACAGGCTGCGATTATAATCCGGCATTTTTTCGCAAGGGCAAAAATAGGCCGTTCAAATTGTTACTGACATCTGATGAATACCAGAGAGCGTTCATTCAATTAGGCACTTTGATGTCGTCCTCTGAAAGAAGTGCAGTCTTTCAAACCCTGGAACGATTTGTCTGCCACATGTATAGTGTCGAGCACGTAAAGGGAGTGAACGCTGCAAGCTGCAAGATATAATTTTTTTTTGAAAGCCTTTCATACTCCAGAAAAAAATGAAAACTTTTACGTAAAATGCAAAAGTTTTGACGCAACGCCAACATGCATAATACCACCCTGTAGGAGCGAACTCGAACAACATCTACGGAGGTCGCACTATATCAGCATTTTATGGCGATATGCACACATGCAATATCCCAGGAGTTTACTTCCGGTTGGACTTGGCTGGATTCAGAATAAAGATTTATTAGACTTTTGCTGGTTTGAGGGAGAGCAACTTCCTCAATTGATTATTATCATTACTGAAGGTAAACAAACATTTTAATTCACTCTCGGCATTTTAAGTCACTCTGCCCAACTAAAAATCTGAAACCTCAGTGATTTAAAATATTTTTAACTCACTCCCGGCATTTTTCCTTGTAATTTATTTTTTAAATTTCCACAAAATGGGATAAAATTTTGTATACATCACGTGAGTTAAAATGTTTATTCATTCGAAGAAAATTAACCCACTCGCTAGGGCTCGTGGGTTAAACTTTTTTTTCATGAATAAACACTCATTTAACTCACTTGGTATATAAATAACCATTATTTCACATAATTTCACCAATTAATTAAGAGAAATTAAATATACACGCCTGGCAAGTAAACATCTTACATGCCAATTTCAATGCGATAGAATGATATGTCTAGAAAAAGTCTTAGGTTGAATGGAGAACGAAAACGATTTCCCCTGTTCCACCTCTAGCATTTCCAGCTCTTTTTGCAACTTCGAATAATTTTTTCCATAAAAACACCAAGGGAAAATTAATCAAACTCAGGAATCTTCAGGATAAATAAAAGTTGGCAAACAAGCAAAAAAAAGTTGGGTTAGATTTCAGCTGTCAAAATGTAAACAGAATAAAGCCTAGTACTCATTACTGCGAAATTCGCATTTTTTTGCTTCGACAATTTGACGTTTGATCTGAGCGTTTGATACACGCATAGAACGTCAAATTGTCAACGCAATGTCAAAAAAATGCGAATTTCGCAGTTATGAGTACTAGGCTTAAGAGATTAGACGATTTTTGTGTCTTCGTGTCCGAGAACTATAAAATACCATTCAAAATACCGTATTGTTAGTGGCACCGTATAAGCGTAGCGTCTGAATCACGAGAACCTTCTAATATCTTCTTTAGTTCGCGTAATATTGGAATCCAAAGTTAAACTAAAAATTTGCTCGTTCCGCTGCATTTGTCCAGCAGTTTAGTACCCGTTCAAATTAAATGTCCTTTGTCTAATTGTAGATGTTTTTTCTGAGAAATGAGTTTTTTGGTCTGAGGTGAAGGGAAAGGCAAAAGCGTTATGGAAATACACAATTCCAATGGAATAGAGAGTGAGAGATAAGTATAGTTCGCATATTTTTCGCGGCTCAATTCTTTCTGGCAATACTTTTATTATTTTAATTTAGGCTAGCCAAAGAAGCAAGTTTATACCTCTAAATCTAATCTGCCCGCAAGCTTATGCACGGGTTAAGTGAATCATCCTGTATAACTTTTAGCATAGGATGCTATGACGCAAACGTGTCCCCAGAACGTCTTCGAATATAAAATATTTCTTGCAACTAATTTTTTTTCTGCTCTCCAATAAATTCAGCTATGCAGCCGCAATTCACGGCTTCCGCTTTTGCACTTATTTTTCCTTTGTGCAAAAAATCGGGATCACTTCGGTTTCAAAAGAACTTTGTGGAATTTTTATAAGGGGTTGTCTGGCCGGTCAGTAGTTTATCGAGTCCAACTCACTTGCTTTGAAATTCGAGTTGAATACGAATTGGGTCGGTTTTCTTTGATAACGAATTTTTGGTGGGCATGAGAAATGCTGATTGAAATATCGATTTTATATAATTTTATCCAACACTTACATAGGTATTATGATGACATCATAATTGCTTTGATTTTCAATGAATAATGTGGCCGTTAACTCACCTAAGTGATGAATCCCTGTCCAATTTCAAACATGAAATGTTTTATAATTAATTGTAGCCAAAACCATACCGCTATTGGATTTTATTTTAGAATGATAATTGAGTTACTTCGCCATAAAATAACTAATTAATTGTATGTGCACGTGGGCCACCGGACGAAATAATTCCGACCAATTGTGCGATTATTAAATTTGGATTCAACTTATAATTATTGTGTCTAAAAAGTTGGTCAAGTCAGCCCAACTCCGTTATCAGGAGTACAGCAGTTCCGGGTCACCAATCAAGCTATGCAACAAGGTCCAGAATCATTGCTACTCCATTACAGGTGGAAAATGCAAGAAAGCAGATATTGTGCGCCCGCTCAAATGTGAACAAAGGCGCTGAATAGAAAAAAAAACAAAAATACATTTGCGATCGACTGAAAACATTGAAAGATATGTGGAAGAATATTAGGCATTCCAGGTCACGTGACTTTGACAAGGTCCGCCATATTTGCTGAGGGGCAAACAAAGCCTATAGATCATATTGTTTACCTACAGTGTTTTTTGAGTTTGTGCTTCGGAATTTTTGCCGTTTTTAATTTGTTCAATAAGTTTTAAGTTGTTTTTAGTTTTTGTGAATGAATGGAATGAATGAATGAATCTTTATTTACAGACATGCCACTTTACATTTCAACTCAACAATATTAAACAAACAATTTATTAACAAAAATAATGCTTAACCCTGCAGTTTGAAAAATCATGGAATATTGGAAATAGATGAAATATTGAAACAGACCACTATTTTTCATTTTAGAGAGTGTTTGCTTCTATTTTATTGTTAAATGTGAAAATAATTTTTGTTTAGGAGTGTCAAAAATTGACAGAATTACAAAAGGGAACATAAACAGTAAACAATAAAACAACATAAAATAGGAAATTAAAATATATCAGTAAAGACTTGAAAGAGACTCCTAAACTACTTTTTTTTTCTTAACTATATTCTAAAAAACATATTCCGTATAAAATTAGGGTATTAGCCTACAAAGGAGATACATAAAAACAGCATGTGATAAACAAATAAAGTTTTCGATTTTGACCATGTTTTTTTTTCAGACAGAACAATCCTTTCCAATGAAAGTAGGAAATCGAGGAATTTATGCACTTGATTCTGCTTCTAGTTTATCTTCACCATTTTGCTCTCACGATTTTTTCTCAATATTGCCCACTGAGCAAGAAACATACTTGGGATGTTTTGTAACGTTTTTAAAATGGAACTCAATGAACGTTTTTTATGTAACGTAGTAAAGTCATATTTGTTACTACTTTTCAAAACGTTTTGCCATTTTGTAAAACCAACGTTCCAATAACGTGAAATAGATGTTTACCCTAGCAACGTTGAGTATTTAACGTTATATGGACAGTATATTATTTACATTCTTGCTACGTTTCACGTGATCACATGTTTGTGACGTTTTCTGTTCTATGTTTTTGTTTCGTTTCGAAATAAACGTTGCAAATTCGAAACTAACTTGTTTGGTAATATAACGTTTTTAATGTTGTTAGGTACAACATGCTTGATACGTCCCAAAGGACGTATCACTTTCATTATTTTCGAACAACGCCGCAGATTTGTTTAGATTCAGGTTCTGGATTTTTATTAGGTAAAATTGGGTAAAATATAGGTTATTTTATGCTATAAAAATAATTTTAATTATAGATATCATCCTATGTGTTTCTTGGAGTGTTTTTTTGTGTGTGGTTCTTGGTAGGTAGGTATAGGTATATACCTATACCTACATATTGTATTGTGCTCCTCTGAAACTGATGTGCTAAACCAAACAGGGCGAGTCCCTGAAGATGGATCTTAAAGTAAGTTTATTTTTTAACAAAAAGTATGATGTATTTGTTATTATCGTAGGTATTAAGGTTGTGCTGGTATCATTCTTACTTTTCAATATAAATACCTATACCTCAACCTATACTTAAGTAGCAGGCAGAAATAGGGCCGAATTCTTAAAAAGAGGATTGGCCAATCTTTTCGCCAGTAAATTGTCTATACATTTTACATTGTTCGTAGACTGGCCAAAAACATTATTTCAAAATAAGGTATTTGCAAAATCGAGCATATTCTAAAAGGTTTGATTTTGATCTAAAATATGGTGAAGAGGTGACGGACAAAGGT